TGCTGTGCCGGGCGGGTTTATTTACAGAGGTCGCGGTCTGCTAGTGGCCTCCTTGCCACTATCATCGAACTGTCTCAGGCTTATGACATCGGTTTCGAACTCGTTCACGAACTTCATGTACCTTAGATTAATTGTCTCGTACTTTTTGTTCTTTCGCGGCGGATTCTGCCCCATACAAAGAAGCAGCATTTCGGCTCTGTACGTATGTTCCTGCTCACGTAACCGCTTCACCATTTCGAATATACTGACGTATTTCTTCAGGATCAGTGTGTTGAGCGCGTGGTGCCAGCCTTCTGAATGGTTTGTGGTTTGAGGTCCGTAATTGCCGTAATGATTCCACATCGCGCGTGGGAAGACGTCGGATTCTAACCATGTATTTACTAAGTAGTCTTTAAACTCCTCGAGAGCCGGGTACGCAGAATGATTAGGGGCCACCGCCACTCAATTCAGTTCTATCCACGCATTATCGATCGCACTTAATGGAGCCAGTGCCAATTCTCCGCGACCGCGGAGGAATCGTCTTATTTCGACGTCATCATAAAATCGGCTCAACCCGAGTTGCTGCGCCTCGCGCCGCAGAGTTCGCCCAAAATGAAAGTTACAGCCTTTCAAGTCAACTGCGGGGAACGTTTCTCTGATAGCAGACAAAGCTGCGACCTCAGAATCGAGTTGAAATGCTTGTCGGTGGAATACAAGACCCTTCGATACGGCATAGTCTTTCAACAACGAGCGCAATACTTGAACAACCTCAGGACGATGGTGTGCTAGACCCTGTAGCGTACTTTTCGCGACGATTGAAGCCATCAGAAATGAAACGAAAGGCAATACATCTAGAATGCTTGGCCATCAAACAAGCGATCCTTTATTGGCAACATTGGCTAATAGGAAGAGAATTCACTGCGATAACTGATCACTAGAGCTCGGACTTTCAAGCAAAATATTTTGCTTGGAAATGCTTATTTAGGACCTTCTCGGTCGGAAATGCTTATTTCGAGATTTAAAGGCATATAATGCTTATTTCGAAATCTTACGCTCGGGGATAGCCTCCCGAGCAGCATTTTCCGAGAGAGCCCGGATGTCTCGTCCATTGCCAATCATTCACGCATCCGGGAGTCTCGGCGCCTGCGACTTCAAGAATGCTCAACATTGCACGTTGCACACCGCATGGCTTTGACGACGTTCAAATCAAACACGGCCAGCCGGACTGCTCGGTGATCGCTTGCCACCACCTGCGAACGAAAACATTCGTTTCGAGAAGTGAACGTGGGAAGGAAGGAAAGAATGCCGAAAGAAAAATCAACGCCGAGGTCGAAGACGGAGACCTTCGTGAAAGTTTTCGGTTGTGAAGTACTCTCGACGGACGGTCGCGTTCTGTTCTGCAAAGTCTGCGAGAGAGGAATCTCGGCCGATAAGAAGTTTGCGGTTCCACAACGCATGAACGGTGTGAGACACAAATCGTTAGTGAAGAAGAAGAAGCAGCAGACAGACTCATCGAGCGTCTCTCAGATGGTACCGTCCCTATTAGCTTCTGGGAAGCAATCGCAATTCCATCTCGACCTCTGTGATGCCTTCTTGTCGAGTGGCATACCGCTTTCCAAATAAGACAACGAAAAACTAAGATCGTTTTTCGGGAAATACGTGAAACATCAGGTGCCGAGTTCATCCGCGTTGCGCAAAAACTATATCAGGAGCGCCTACGAGAGCAAGTTGGACTCTATCAGGAGCTATGTCGCTGGGAAGTTCATATGGCTGTCTGTCGATGAAACGACGGATGCTACAGGTCGTTTTGTAGCCCATGTTGTCGTCGGGACAATGGAAGCGACATCCAGCCGAAGTTTTCTTCTGCAACTACTGGGTAACTGCAAACGGTAGTACAATATCGCAGGTCTTCGTCAATTCGTTGACGCTCAGCTGGCCCCAGCAAATCCAGCACGACCGTGTGCTCTTGTTTGTGTCGGACGGCGCAGCCTATATGAAAAAAGCAGGCCCGGCTCTCAAAGTGATGTTCTCGAAAATGCTGCATTTGACCTGCACCGCGCATGCATCGAGTGGCAGAAGAAGTGAGACTCCTGTTTCTGAAGGTAGACAAGCTCGTCTCGAATGGCAAGAAAATTTTTCCGAAATCAGCTTCAAGGACAATAACCTTTCGCGAGATGGCACCCGGGATACCTCTGCCGCCTCAACCAATCCTGACTCGATGGGGAACCTGGATTAACGCCGCTCTCTATAACGCCGAGAATTTCGAGGCTTTCGCGGTGGTTGTCCAGTCTCTGGACGCGTCTGAGGCCGCGAGCCTTGCGCCAGCTCAAGGATTGTTGGAGGACGAGTCCCTGAAACGAGATCTCGCTTTCATCAAAAGTCATCTCGGTCACCTACCACCTGGCATCGAGAAACTTGAAAAAAAAGAGACTCCTCTAGTCGAGAGCATTGGAACGTTCGAACGAGTTCTAAACGCACTCGAAGATACGCCAGGCCAGATCGGGGACCGGCTCCGACAAAAGCATAAATCGGTATTGAGTCGGAATCCAGACTACGGTAGTGTCAAGGCGATTGCGGATGTTTTAAGGGGGGATATCCCCGAAAGTTGTAACCTCGATTCTAGTCCTGGGGAAATTGCCGCCTTCAAATTCGCTCCGTTGACGTCCGTTGACGTGGAGAGGAGTTTTTCTCAGTTGAAATACACCCTTGACGATCGTCGTCACAGTTTTACTTTCGAAAACCTACGGATGGTGCTAATTGTGTACTGTAATGCTTAAGCTAAATCATAACCTTGTATAGATCGTTCGAGCATATCCCGCGCTTGAAAGAGCTTATTTTCTCATTTTTTGGTGCATATTTGCTTGCTTATTTCTCGTTTTTTCAGTGCTTGAAAGTCCGAGCTCTACTGATCACAAACCGCTGGAGGAGCTCAAAGTCAAGGCCCGCACGGACGAAATTCTAGGTGACTTGGTCTACTGCTTATCGCAATATCATTTCACCATCAGGTATGCGAGTGGAAAAACGAATGTTGAAGCGGATTCCTTGTCGAGAAACCCAGTCCTAGAGAGCTTCGAGAACAAAGATGACGTTCTCAGAGAGATTAATCTGGTGACAATGAGCGAGATCGTCGCAGATCAGGAGAGAAGCAGAGAAACCATCGATACCTCGAATAATGTGGTTAAAAAATAATGGTGTGAGCTTCAAACAAATCCGAGACCGAAAACGGATATTCATTTCAAACGAGATGGGTACGAAACTGATAAGAAGAGTGCATGAGGACTATGGGCACATCGGATCGAGCCAGATGATGCAGACTCTAAGACCAATATACTACTTCAAGAATACGGACCGGAAGATAGAAGCTTTCTGCAAAACATGTGAAATTCGCATCAAGAATAAGACTAGAACAAGGAGGCGACTTGGGAAACTCTCAAAGTTAGGTCCTGCCAGCCGTCCTTATGAGATTCTTTCTGTCGACACAGTCGGTGGATTCTCAGGGAATAACTCGACGAAGAAGTATATGCATATACTGGTGGATCACTTCACTCGGAAAGCCTTCATCGCGACGAGCTCGAGCCAGAAAACGAGAGACTTCATCAACTTAATTGATCGAGTGACTTCAGGGAAAGAAGTAAGACTCATTCTGGCTGACCAGTATTCTGCTCTGAATTCTCATGAACTGAAAAATATGAAAAAGAGGAATATACCGCTGTATTTCACATCAGTCGACACACCCACTTCGAATGGGCTTAATGAGAGGCTTAACCAAGCTCTAGTCAACCGAATACGATGTAAACTCAGGGAGAATCCGAGGATGAGCTTGGGAAAGATAGCCCAAGAATGTGTGGATGAATACAACCGGACAACTCATTCAGTTACGCGATTCCCTCCTGAATATCTAATGAATGGAAAAAGGCCGAATATTGTCCCGGCTTAGTACTTCGACAAAAACAACACAGGGTCGACCAGAATCGACGAAAATGTGATATTAGAGTGGGCGATTTCGTTGCTCTCCAGAGCTAGGAGAATCTGGCTCTAGCCATTCTGCGTTCTCCAAGAGCGGGATTCACCACGTGAAACTCGATTCTCTGATTTAAGGTAAATGCTCTCATGCTTACGAATCATACGGTACCATCTCAGAAGCCAGAATTACGAAAGCCAGAATTGTGGGTTCAGACACGGAAGCCAGAATCGCAGAAGCCAGAATCGCAGAAGCCAGAATCACAGAAGCCAGAATCGCATAAGCCAGAATTCTCATTTGCCAGGATTCTCATAAGCCGGAATTCTCATAAGCCAGAATTCTCATGAGCCAGAATTCTCATAAGCCGGGATGGACCGTCGCCCTGACGGTGCCTTCCAACGCGCAACGAAGCCTACGCTTTTGATTCTGGAACGATGAACGCGCACGCGCGAGGTGTCGCTTAAGTGATGTTCTGGGATCTCAGAGGAGACGGAACGTCGCACCGAGAGTGGCCGCTGCATCTTTCAGCTGATAACACAGGCTGTGTCGTTCCATGAGCTGTAGTGTTGTAGTGAATATTATCTGAGTGATGAGTTTGAGCTCGGTGATGTGTTGAAGAATGATCCAAGAGCAGATAAAGAGTAGTCAGTAAATCAGGGTTTGTCTATCTCCGAATCTTGGTAGTCTTCCCGGACAGTTCGATTTCGAATCTCAATCACGATAGTCGATTCCCAGTCTCGACGTCTCTTCTCGGAGACAAGGTCGCTCGGGAGGAACTCGACAACTTCGAGTCGAGCTCGAGGAAGGTTACTTTTGGCCCTGAGTAGCACAGGATAGCTCGCAATCGTCAGAAACCGGGACAGTCGCCGAAATCTTAGGGACAGTATTGCGATGCACACGTGACAAGTTGCTTCCAGAGTGATGTCGTTCGACACCTTGTCAGTGGGGGCTTCGCATTGTTGTCATTGGGTTTTGCTTGATAATCGCATCGATCCGTACACTCCAACCTGTGTTCCGATTTCCATCGTAGATCAAAATCTTCGCTTTCTCGAGAGTCGATATGAGTGTCATGGCTGTCAAGGAAGTGCTCTCGGCGAAGGGGAAACCCCAATTCTTCGTGGAAAACTACCTTTATGAAGTTGAGAAGACGGTTGGTGGCAGGACATCTTACTGCAGATGCATCAAGCAAAGGAGGGACGGCTGTCCAGCAAGAATAACTATATTGAGATGGCCAGAACCGATGGTCCAAAGGCAGACTGGCGAGCATACTCATGCACCCGACACCGGCGAATTCATCAGGAGGCAGGCATCCGCTCAAATGAAGGATGCCGTTACTCGAAAACAGGATAAAGGTGTTAAACGAGTTCATTCTGAGGTTCTTGCCGAGGAAGTGCGAAATTCGCGTGGTCTCTACGAAGATGAAGAGATAGGAGCAGCACTGCCAACATTCGACTCTGTGCGAGCCTCTTTGTATCGGGCTCGCGCAAAGCTCACACCGGCTTTACCTCAGAGTCGAACGGACATTGTCGTTGAGGGCTTGTACGGGAAAACTTTGAGCGACGAAGATTTCCTCTTGTTCGACGACGGCCTCGAGGACAAAATCCTGGCGTTCGGCACCGACGAAATGTTTAGTATCTTGTGCGAATCGCCCACTGTTTTCATGGACGGAACGTTCAAAGTAGTTCCCCACCTCTTCTTACAGTTGTACACCATTCATTCTTTCCACAAGGGTCAGATGTTTCCGCTCGTATTCTTCCTTCTCCCAGACAAGACCAAGGAGACTTATCGTAGGATGTTTAGTCTGTTGAAGAATCATGCCGATGCGAAGGGCATGGTGTTTGCCCCTCGCACATTCCAGCTAGACTATGAAGTGGCAACCCTGAGAGCCATACAACTCGAATTCCCGCTGTCGGAGATCAAAGGCTGTAATTTTCATTTTAGTCAGAGTCTCTGGAGAAAAGTTCAGCATCTTGGTCTCGTCTCTCACTACAACGATCCGTCGGTCAAGAAACTCATCCGGTCCTGTTTTGCCCTCAGCTTGGTACCGTTGGACAGAATTGACGACGCTTGGCTAGGAATCGACGCAGAGTCTCCGGCCGCGGATCATCCAGCGTATGAACGAGTAGGAGTTTTCAAGGAGTATGTAATCAATACTTGGTTGGAAAATGGGTCGGTGTTTCCACGTAGTTTGTGGAATCACTACCGCAACTTCGGTGCTCGGACAACCAATCACGTCGAAGCGTGGCATAGCGCGTTGAGTCGAACGATCAGGAAAGAACATGTAAACCTGTTCCAACTGATCAACTTCCTGAAAAAACAGGAAGATAAAGGGAGAGCGGACAGACTGTTGCTCCAGGCAGGACAAGCCCCACCGAGGCTCTCCTCGAAGTACAAGAGTCTCAACGACCGCCTTATTCGACTGACGGACGAATTCGAATCCGGCGCGAAGAGTTTGATGGAATATGTTCACTGCGTCGGATTCAACTTGAAGACTTGAGAATTGTGATCGTGAGCTTTAATTTAAGATCTCTGTCGTATCATAATCAGAGGATGAAATGTAATAATGCAGATTTCAGAGAAATATTTGTGCGAGAAATGAAGTCATACCTAGTCCAATATCGTTAACTCCAAGTCCATTCCTTCGAATGCGGGGCAGCACCGGCTTATGAGAATTCTGGCTTATGAGAATTCCGGCTTTTGAGAATTCCGGCTTATGAGAATTCTGGCTTTTGCGATTCTGGCTCCGGCGATTCTGGCTTCTTCGATTCTGGCTTTTGCGATTCTGGCTTCCGAGATAGTACCGAATTGTGAAAGCCAGAATTGCGAAAGCCAGAATTCTCGAAAGCCAGAATTGTGAAAGCCAGAATTGAGAAAGCCAGAATTCTCGAAAGCCAGAATTTCGAAAGCCAGAATTGTGAAAGCCAGAATTGCGAAAGCCAGAATGGCGGGAGCCTGAATTTCCTGGGCTCGGAATTGAGAGAGCCAGACAGATGTTCGCCAGACGAGTGCCACGGCGGTTTCCTCTGATTTCTTATCTTGAACGCGCGCAATGTCGCAAGGGTGCCTGGCTGGGATCTTGGAGGAGACAAAACCGATACATTGGACGGAGGCTCATCGCTGCAGCTGATCACAACAGTCTTCTGTGCTGCTTAGAGAAGTTTGAGCTAAGAGGTGTGCTTCGAGACTTCGCCAAATTGCAGATATAATGATCAGAAGATCGG